GCTATGTATCAAAAATTAATAATTAAGGTATTATATGAAAGCCCTAAACCAGGGGAATTAAATAAAAAAAAGTTGACCAATTTTTATATGTTAGATCACGAGTTATTAACGGATAAAAATTTACTTTGTAATTAATAAATTTTAAGTGGTCGGATACTTTTGCTAGGTGAGTGTACATAACCTTGTATGTCACCCAAGATCGAATCAAGAAAAAATCAAAACCAGCGAACAAAAGTATTAAAAAAAAGAAAAACCAAATTTAGAAAATGAAAAGAGGCTCAGTTCAGTGCTAAGATCATGCAAAAATAACAAAAATAAATATTAAAAATATAAACCACTTATCTAAAAATAAAGAAAGGCAAACTACAGCCGAAATCCTGATACACCTGACAAACTCAAAAAAAATTGAAACCACTGAACTAAAAATAATAAAAAAAATAAAAAAGGAAATCTAGAAAATGAAAGAAAGCTCAGATCAATAATAAGCATCATACAAAGAGTAATAATAATAAAAAATAATGAAAATTGAAATATGTATTTAGAAAATTTATTTATTTTAAGAAATCTCAATCCACCTGACAACCTTATATGCCGCTCAAGGTTTGACCAAGAAAAAATCAAAACCAGAAAATTAAAATAATATAAAAATAAAAAATAAATCCATATCAGTAATAAGGATCATACAAAATTTAATAATAACAATAATGAAAAATAAAAACCACTCATCTAAAAAATAAAGAAAAGGAATCCACCAGCAGAAATTCCAATCTGTCTGATCCAACCTTGTATGCTGTCCAAGGTCAAACCAAGGAAAAAAATCAAAGCCAGCAAACTAAAAAAAATAATAATAATAAAAAGAATTTATAAAACAAAAGAAAGCTCAGATCAGAAATAAGAGTCATACAAAATAACAATAGCAAATAATAAAAAGATAAAAAATGCTTACCTAAAAATAAAGAAAAGTGATCCGGACAAACCAAAGCAACAAGAAGAATAACACCGACATACAACAATTTGTACTGTAATACCTGAAACGAAGCCAAATACCAGAGATGACTCGTAAGCAAAATCGAGATGCTACAAAAAGAAATGATGAATCAAAAAGTGAAAAATTTTAGCATAGATTCTTGATATAAATGATATTCATGATAAATTTTGGCATAGATTCTATATTCGTAATGATAAAAGTTTGTGATTTTTTATTTTTTGGTATATCATTTATGTTTTTGTAATAATAATTCGTTGCCATATCATTTTCATTTTATAATAGTATTTCTTTGTAATATATTTACCCATAAGCTTCATGACATTATAGAAATGTCGTTTTCGATAAGAAATAGTTTTCTTTAGAACGAAAATAGTGTTTTTGTTAAAAGTAAATAGTTTTTTTTTTGATAAAAAGTAGTTTTTACAAGCGAGAATATAAAAAAAAAGAAATTTTCGTGGGAAAATGAAAAAATCAGGTGAAAAAAAAAGATCTGACTTTTATTTATAAGGAATGAGGCTACACAAAATAAATTAATAAATAAAATGATCAACCCTGAGTTCTATTTTTAGATTTGACGAAAAAATCACGTCACTAAGAATATCACGCCTACTACACAGTATAAAGTTATATATATATATATATATATAAATATTATATTAAAAATTGTATATTGATTATGATAATATTGCCTATTAATAAAATTAATAAAATAAGCGAATATTTTTTTTTGTTAAATGTGAATAGTTTTTTTTGATAAAAAATAGTTTTTGCGTATGAGAATTCAAAGATTATATTTATTAATTAAATAAAATATTTTCATTAATGATAATAATTGTAATTATAATTAAATATTCAAATAAATATAAATAAACTATATTTTACTCATTGAAGAATAATAACTTATTTATTATTATTAATGTCATTGTTGTTGCTTATATTATTACAATTAAATAAACTCTTACTCTAAACTTTAATAATATAATGTTTAAATTTGCTTACATCTTCGATAAAAAATAATTAATTAACCTGTAATATTAATGTAAATATATGTCTTCGATTTTAAATCTTCAATATTTTGTATAAATATAACAAGAAAATATATTAGATGATATTTGATATTGCAATTATTGCTATTAAAATAATCACAAAAAGATATTGAACGGTTATAAGTGGTAGAATTTTAATTTCTAATTGTCTCGCCAACATAATAAAAATTAAATTAAATTAAGACATCAATAAAATTATTTGTTTCCTATATTTGTTATTTATCCTTTCAATAAATTTTTGTCAAATAAAAAAAATTTTATAAAGTGTTGTGTAAAAATGATAAATTGGGTCGATTATTTAACACTTACCGTCCATCTTTTCATGATTCTGCAATACTATTTAATATATCTTTCCATGATCAATTGGCTCATAATCATACTGAATATAAATAAAGACTTCTTAAACGAAAATATTCTTTACTTGCATTTGATATTATGATGACAATTAGATCATAATGATCACCAAATTTGTTTTCTGATCGCAATTTCCAAATGTATTTTGTCACTTTGTTGTATCAGTCACTAATTCTTTTTCAGGCTTTTTGTTAAAATGGATATAGCATCTGTGAAATTTTTCTTCGTAAATAGTGATAATAGAATCTTTTATTAAATATGAATCGTCAGTAAAATCTAAAATGTAGTTAAACCATTAATAAAAAATATAAATAATTAATAATATAATAATTATTATGTACAAAGATCTCTTCAAAAAAGAGAGTTGCGCTTTTAGAATGCATGATTGAATTGTCTTATTTGGAATTCTCTATTGTTTGTTCCACATAATAAATGAAATTGAAAAATGTTATATTCCATGTACTAACCTTACCATTCCATTATCTAGGCAGTTCGCGATAAAATATCAGCATCAGTAGTCCTTGTTTGACTTTCTTGTCTCAAATTCCATGATCTTTCATTTGGAATGAAAGAAGAAGGATAATATTGAAGTTTAAGAGTTGGAAGAACATCGCTAGAACCTTAAATGTATATATACATACAGAGAGAGAAGTATTATTAAAATAAATTATGCTCTACATGATAAATAAAATTGAAGCAGAAATAATTGTAATTTTCCCGGCCATATCTTGGAAATGACCTATATATATATTACTTTAACAAATAAGAATATCCACACCTTGCTTAATTTTGTTATCTCGTGAATATAATTATTTTCCTCTAACAATTTACTTATTATTGCTTATTTTTTAGTAACTTCTTCGATTTCATGCTTGTTTTGGTCTTTAAAGAGCAAAAGTTAGGTCTCATCGAATATTTCTTTTTTTAGGCACAAATTATGGTACAAATATTTTTAATAAATTTTATTATGTTATATTACGATTGAATAAAAGAATAAATAACGGAAGAAGAGAGTTAGTGAGCGAAAAATAAATAAATGGAAAGTTAAAAATAATTATTTATATATTTAGAAGGATTAAATTAATTACGTAATTATATCATCACGGTTGGATCGTTAATTACATAATTAATATAACTATTTATTGATTAAATTGAATTTCTTAAAAAATAAATTTTATTTTTTTTAATTATTAGATTGGTTAAATTGACTTTTTTTTAAAATAGACTTTATTTTTTTTTAAAATTATTAAAAAAAAGATTTATTTTATTCTTTTTAAAATCAATAAAAAATAGAAACTATTTTAAACTGTAGATTAAACGACCATATTTAAAAAATATTGAGACTATTTTAAGCTGTATTAATTATTTATAGATTAAATCGAATTGACTTTTTTTAAAAATATTAAAAAATTTTTTTAAATTATTAAAATAAGAAACTATTTTATACTGTAGTTTAAATCATTATCATAAATTCATAGTTTTCATTATAGCATAAGCATTTAATTTCGATTTTGGTAAATTTTATTGGAGGAATAAGATAAAAAAGTAATATTATTAATTACCATTAAATAGTTTTAGGTAGTGTATATAGTGATTACATAGTAGTTTATAGATTTTTAAATAATTACTTGTCATTGAAATATCAATAGAAAGAAAGATCAATTATATGTATATATAGTAATTTGTAATTAGTTTTCACTTGCAATTCAAGAATCTGTATATGTATTTATTAATAAAGTTATTGTTAATGTATCTTGTTTACAATAAATTTTGTGCACTAAAGTTCATTGAAATATAAATGAATAAGTAAATATTAATATTACCCAAACCAACAAAATTAGATAAAGAAGAAATAACAAATATATACTTATCTCCACTTTGAGCATTTTTCTTGCACAATTTTTATTATAGAATCGCTAACAGTTATCAAACAAATTGAAATGAATCAAGCTTCCATGTAGGAATCGAACCTACTGGGAAAAGAATCCCAAACCATTAGGAAGTTTTGTTGACCCAGAAACTAGAAATCCGAAGATAACTGGTAAAAACTGGGGCATAGTTAATTGAGGAAAGGTAATAACTAGCAAAAACCCTTCTTTGTTGTCCTGGAAATTAGAAACTGGCATAGTTAATTTGTAATGGTAGAGTAATAACATCAGGAAGTAGTAATAAATAAAAGTTTTTTGAGAAAATAGAATAGAAAATACTTAATGGGGGTTGTTACATGATTGTAGCAAGCCCCTTTGAGCCCTTAATATATCCAAATCTATTTGTTGCATTCTCTGATAAATATTTAGAAGTCTTTGGTTTAAATCTTGACGTCTCTGGAGTTGTTCTTGATTAAGGGCATGATTTTGTTGGTGTTGGTTTCTTTGCTGAATTCTATTACTTCTTCTAGGTGTTGTAGTTGTGTATTGTTGAATATTGTTGGTATTATTTCTACTTCTCCTGATTGGACCTGTACCTGTACCTGTAGAAGCAGAAGTAGATGCAGAAGAAGCAGAAGCAGAAGAAGCAGAAGCAGAAGAAGCAGAGGCAGAAACAGAAACAGAAGCAGAAGTAGAAATAGAAGTAGAAGTAGAAGCAGAAGTAGAAGAAGAAGTAGAAGAAGCAGAAGAAGTAGAAGAAGCAGTAGAAGCAGAAGTAGAAGAAGAAGTAGAAGAAGCAGAAGAAGTAGAAGAAGAAGTAGAAGCAGAAGTAGACGAAGTAGAAGCAGAAGTAGAAGAAGAAGAAGCATTATTAGTGTTAGTAGTGTTAGTAATGTTAGTAGTGTTAGTATTTGATACCAGCATCTTCTTTTCAAGTTCCTCCCAGGTGATCCACTTTTCAGGGCAATTATATTCATCTTTTGGTCGAAGGCATCTTTCAGCATAAGGAAAATTTGGATAGTTTGAGATTTGGAGAAGCCTTGGGTCGATTGGGTAGTTTTGGTAAGCCATTTTAATAATAATAGAAGTTTTTTTGTGATAAAAAATTAATTAAAACTAAATTTTTAAAAAAATCTGAAGAAAAAAAAACAAAATTGGAAATGGGGAAATGGTTTTTTATATTTTTATTTCTAGGCTATATAGATCAAAAAAATAAACAAATAATTAATTGTTTACATGCTAACATGTCAATCAAAAAAGAAACAAACAAACAATAAATTGTTTACATGCATGCAAAACTCAGATGCATGAAATTATAGTTTATTTAAATAAATAAATAAATAAATAAATAAGAAATAAATAAATAAAAATAAAAATACATAAATAAAATAAGAAATATATAAATAAAAAAGAAAAATTAAAAAAAGAATCAAATTTATTTACTATAATTTATTCTTATTATATGATTGATTAATTACATATATTTATACTGTACATAATTATATCTCATACATAATATATTATACAGATTACGATTATATATTTATATAGTTTATAGTTAAAATTTCAAGTATATTATATTTGAAAAGTTCAAAAACCTGATGCAGAATTACGTGCACAATTATCTAAACAACTTAATATGTCATCTAGAGCTATTAAAGTATGGTTTCAAAATTGTAGAGTTAAAGTAAAATGGGGTGTATTGGAATCTAAAAATGCGTCCAAAATAAAGAAACCAAAGAATTTAACTTTATCGACAGATTATTATCGCGAAAAAATTAGTGGATTCAAATAATTCAAATACAACACCATTTTTATCTTCTTCAATCAATTAATCCCATACCAAAACAAAAGTAGTTAGTTCTCAAAAACTCAAAGTCTCGCTAATATTTCTTTAACTTCTCAAAAAATATTATAAATCTCAACATAACATCAATAAGATCAATATCAATAATAATATTAATAGTAATAATTAACCAATTTATTATTCTCGATTAATTTCTATTTATAATGACAACAACAATAATAACAACGAAGATAAGTGTAATATATCGACTTGGAATGACAATCGAGCAACTTTGTTACTTTTTCGATCAAACAGAAGTTTTCTTTTCTTTCCTTATTTATTAAATATTAAAAATATTGAATACATATTTTATCTATCTTTTCTAGACTTTCAAACCTCACCCCCCACTAGCGATACCAACATTATCCGATCAACTATTTGATTCTTTCTATAACACTTCCGTATATGCCGATTCTACTATTACCATCAATAAAATAATAACAAAAACGAAAACAACAATAGAAATATTCATAATACTCCTACTAAAATACCCAAAATTCTGCTACGGATGTTTTCAAAATACCAATATTCTTCATTCACTTCATCCCCTCTCTTTCTTTCTTTCTTCTACAATCTCCACTATTAAATTCGACTCATGGCCACTACTACCCATTCACTACCACCATCTTTAATGTCGATAAGAATAGTAATAATGATGTTGATGTTGATTGTTGACATTGTTTATATAGTTCTTGGTAAGAATAATAATGATAATTCGGCTTCCCCTCCCCTCTCAGTAATAATAATTTTTATAATATCACCTCTTTCTCCTCAATTCCTTCCTCCATCTGGTTATTAAATTTTAATACTCCTGTCATTATTAATAACAATCATTGAATATCATCCTACTCCATCTTCTCATTTTATATCACCATCATCGAAATCACTTCAATTACAATAACCATCATTCTCTATTATCGCCAAATTTCGCATCATCGCCCATTTGGAAATCTTTTCAATCTGTTTATCATAGTAATAATAATGATAATGATAATGAATGTAATGAATCTAAAGTACAAATTATTTCATCTAGGGATATATTAACAAATATAATTGAGCGCATTGTTGTCATATTATTATTGGAATTATTGATTTATTGATCAAAACGCTTATTATATATATTTTCCAGTACGCAGCATAATTTACTACTTGATTTAATTGATATAAAATTGATTGGTTAAGTGAAAGGATAAAATTCTATATTGCATGGAAAAAATTTTTATTTTTATTTATGTCGAACGATAATATTTGTTTTTTTTTAAAAAAATTTAACAAAACACGAAAATCAGTTAAAAGTCCAAACTATTGATTGTTTATAGAATTTTTTTATCCTTAAAATTTCTATTTTTAGACAAAAAAAATGACACTAAATTTTCTCAGAAATATTAATTATAATTTTAAATACATAGTATTCAATCAACTCAAGATTTATATTCATCATTATTAATCGAATCTGGTGTTAAGTTACTTTACCTATACTTTTGGGATTACTTTTGGGTCAAAAATGTTGTGACGATGATAAAGATTTGAGGAAGAAAGCATTATATTGTGTATTCGAACTTATATATAACGTATGGATACTCAAGCTAGAATTTTGATTAACCATCATCATAGTAATTAAGTTTATTTTATTTACATACATACTGTATATACAAAAAAATTATTGATTTCAGGAAATACTTCATCACCGAATAAAAATTTATATTTCATAAAATATGTCAATTAATAATAAATCTTTTGAATTCTTTTAAAATGACGAAATTGAAAGTTTTTCTAGAAAATTATTTCTAAATTATAGGAATAATAGTAATTTATTGATTCAATTCTCAATTTACCTGGTGTATTTAAAATTTAGAAAGTATTATAATAGAAGATTATGATGATATCATTAATTGTGATAATATTTTAAATATGGATATGGAATTGAATGCACATTCTCAGATTCGATCATTTGCCGAAACATATTAGTGCTCAAACGTTTAGAAAATCTATCAATTGATGCTATTATTATTATCAGAAACAGACTAAATCATAATTCAAAATTGTTGCTAAAATTCATAAGTTTTAATCGTCTCTGGATTGAAATAATCACCAATTGGACAATTTATTTCACCTTTATATATATTGAACATTGTTATTGTTTCATCATTTATTCAATTAAGTAGCTTTCTCTATTTATTTTTTCATTTATACCATCCATATCCTTAAGAATTAATTATAAAAATTCTGAAACGGCAATTCGAATTTAAGAAATATTAAATCATAATTTTAATGAATTAAAAATATTTTCATTTTTATTTGTGGATATCTAATGAACCTTTATATCAAATATCCGAAAAATGTAACAGAATCACTTGAAACTATTGGATTAGTATGAAGATGTTTAGTGTTAATAGATTAAGAAAATTTTTTGGGATAGTGTCGTAAAGGGGAGAAGATTATTTTAAAACGTATAGAACAAGTGCGAATATTTACATTAAGTGGTGAACAGTTATTGAAGAATATGGAGTGGAGTTCAAAATGAAATATAGAAGAAATCAGAATAGTTATAATTTTTTACATTGAATATAAGAATATTGAAAATCTATGTAATAAAAATCATATGTAATTTTTGATAATAATTTTGTTAATAAAATAAATTAATAATAAACTTTATTTATCGTTAAAGTTAATTAAAAATAGTCAATTTACTTTAAATAATTGACAAGATCTAAATCTCTTTTTAAACAAAAGACTATTTTTTTAATAAAATAAATAAAAAATATATTTCTTATGTATTAATTATATGTAATTATATCATGTAATGTAAATCTTATTATTAAAATTTCGATAATTATTATTTATATTATTATAAATATTTCATTTATTATTATTTTTATTAAAAAAGATATGTTAATACAATCTGGAATTCCAATTTAATTAATTTAATTACAATACTATAAAACCTATAACTATATATTATATTTCTGATGTAACCAAAATTTGTTATATAATCATATCTTAACTGATGTAATTTTATATTTCATTTATTTATCTGATAAAAAAATTAATATAAACAATATCAAAAGTTTTTCGTTTAGTATTTATATCTATTATTATTAATATTTCATTAATTAGTTTTATCTTTATTATTATTAATATTTTATTTATTATTAATTTTATTATTTTTTTTTATTCTTGATAGCAGTTTCATATGTAAATAATAGAAATGTCACTTTATAATGTAATAATTAGTCTAATAGTTACTTAGAATGCTAATTTGGAAAAGAAATAATGAAATTGACTTTCGGAATAATAACAATTGTTTTTTTTTATATGTAAATAATAATTGTAATTGTTGAAAATTGTAATATTTATTAAATAATATTTGTAATACCCATAATAGAAATAAATTTTAAAAATAAATCCAATTTTTTTATTTATTTTTCTTTTTTATTTATTTGTTTCTTAAATAAACTATAAATTCATGTTTACATTATGCATCAGAGTTTTAGCATGCATGCATGTAAACAATTTATTGTTTGTTTGTTTTTTTTATTGATTTCCATATTTGTAAACAATTTCTTATTTATTTTTTGATCTATATGACCTAGAAATAAATATATAAAGTATTCATTTTCCTCATTTTGTCAATTTTCAATTTTTTCTTCGGATTCTTTTAAAAATTTAGTTTTACTTGATTTATATTAAAAAAAAACTTTTATTATTATTAAAAATGGCCTACCAAAACTCTATGGATTATCCTATCGACCCAAGGCTTCTTCAACTATCCAACTATCCAGATTTTCCATATGCTGAAACATGTATTTGCCCTTATGATTGCCCTGAATTGTGGATTACCTGGGAATAAAGCTCCTCATAGGCCGAGCCGAGCCAAGCCTCATAAAGCTCAGGCCGAGCTGAGCCCAAAAGTCTTAGGCTCGGCTCAAGCCTGAGTTTATAAGTTAGGCTCG